AGCACCACCAGCAACCGCTCCCCCCCGGGTTGTTTACCCCCCCCCGGCTGTTCCCTTTTGTCCGGGGAAAGAAGAAAGAAAAGGGCAGGTGGGGGGGGGGGCGAGGGGGGGGACTGATGCTCCGAGCACCCGGGGAAGACGGAGAGCGGGCCAGGTAGCCCGCAGGGAAACGCCTTCCCGCCTGCAACAACACAAAGGGAGGCGTCCGCGCAGGGGCGCCCGGCTCGCCACGCTCGAAGCTCTTAACGCGCAGCAGCTCAAGATGTCTGATCGGGTGAATCTCTTTTTCTTCTTCTTTCAAATTTCGCTTCTGCTCATGCTCAGCATGTCCCCCCTCCACCGAAGTGAGCATGTGCCAAAGGGCTGCACATGGGCAGTGGGCAAGTGAAGCCGGCTGCCCTCACTTTGCCCTGACTACCGGACTGCTTTCCCCATCCCTTGGACCGCCGCGCGCTCGGCTCCTGCGGTCGCAGTTGGCGGAGGAGCGCGGTGGAGTAGCGAAGCGGATCCCCAAATAGGGCTCTCACCTGACCCCTCAGGGATTCTCTCTAGATCCGGTGGTGTATACAAGGGAAAGTGGATCGTCAACTTTTTAACATGCGGTTTTTTAAAAAGCTGTGATGTCAAACTTCGTGCAAAGTTCATCCATACCGTTTAAATACATATGGGTTTGCAGAGAGCGCAGTCCAATGCACATGTACTCAGCAGCTTTTTTGCACGATGTGCTAGGCCATGGATCGCTTAACTATAGTTTCCACAGTTCACCCCATGTTGGGGCTTTGCGCCATATGCTAACCTGGAAATAGGCCAAAATGTGAACCCCACTGAGACTTGGGTTCAGATTGCTCTTTGAGCTTCTCATCTCCGCAATCCCCAGAGAATGATGGGTTGTTCTCCTGCAGACGTTTCATTACCAGGCTAGGTATCATCATCAGTGCATCATCAATGAATCATTACTGTATCATCCTTCACACTGATAATGTTGGTAACAAAACGTCTGCAGAAGAACAACCCAGTTCAGAGAGCACCAAGCACCCAACAGTTCAACCCTGAGCTACAGATATTCTCAACTACCAAAGGATGATCTCCCTCCTCCAGGGCTGGCTTCCCATATCTGGATTCCAAGAGTCACAAGGACTGCCAGAGGACATCAGAGTCGCCTTTCTGGTATCCCTTTGCTGCCACTGAGCAGCTCTGCAGATTTTTGCAGCCCAGATACCATAGCCCTAGTTGGCTTGTAACAGCTGTACATTAATAGAAAGCAGAGGTATTGTTTTCCTGTCATTGGAGTCAGCATTTTCATTATCAGGATCTGGTAACCTTGGACAACCATCAGAGTCCACTAGCAATACCTTCTCTTCCCTTTTTTAAAAAAAACAACTCATAAATGCCATTTCATTTTCCCCAAATTGCCTCCCTGTTGGGCATCATCACCATCACTACCAGAGCTCCTAAAATGAGCTGCTTGTTGATTTTTAGAAGACCAAAAATCAACATTTCAGCAGAGCACCCACTCTCAAAGCCAAACAGCAGTCTGCTTGGGGCTTGCTGGTTCATAAGAAGCCAACTGTGATTTACTCCACAAACTATGGTTAAAACAAACCACAGTTTAGTGCAATGTATAAACAGGCAACGGATAGAATGAGCTATTGGTGGGGATGGTAATGCATCCCAAATGTACTCCAAGATTTCTTCCTACAGATGAAGCCAGCTTTCTCAAAGCAATCCTGAACTTGTATCTTGAGAAAGTCCTTCTTGGTGGATATGATTTCACTGCTTCCTTTTCATGCTTCATTAAAAACCATTGAAGATGGTACAAGGTATTTTTTATGAATACATACCTTTTCAAAGACTACCCAAAGTTAAGCAAATTTCTGCCATTCGTCTCACTCATCAGGTCCAAACAGGTCTTTCACATTGCTAGCTTCTTCTTGGGTGAAGTCATAAAAAATAAACTTCTCATTAATTGGAAGCCTTTCATGCTTAATGACTCCATGCATTAAAGGAAAAACCTTTGACAAAATCATTTCTATGGAACTGATGGCAGGTAGAATCCAACCACTTTCAGCTGGGGAAAAGTGAAAAGAGAATTGTCTTTACGGTGCGGTTCCAAATTAAGAATTAAAGCCGTGCTGAATCTACCTCCCCATTTCTCAACAGTTGTTGTTTTTTTTTAAGTTGGGATATTGTTGCTCTTTCCTTTTATAAAATGGCAAGGAATTGAAATTCAGCAAGGTGTTCGAAAAGGGGCAAATGCCCACCCCTTGTTGTGAACTGACCATTGCCAATATGAAACTTTATGTATGTGTTGTTTTCAGTTCCCACAATTGTGCAAACCATTCCTGTGCTAATTTAGAAATACAAAGAAATGATGCCCTCCCCCCATTTTGCCATGATTAAACAAATAGGAGTGAGAAAATCTGGTAGTCCTAATGTTGGTTTTTGTCTGCCTCTTTAAATAATAAATACACCCTGTAAAACTAACTAGCTGCACAACTCAATGATCTACAGTAGCTACAAAGTATCTGTGCAGCCTCGTTAAAGGAATATTGCTTACAATATACTTCCTTTGTTTCCCTATAAATTGAATCAATTGCTAGCAAAGGCCACTGTGGCTGACAGCAACAAAGCTCTTTTGCAAGGGGGATGTAGATTTTCCTCAGCTTGTTTTAGATAACCTTGAACCTACATCAAGATTTTGCCACGGATAATTTCCTTCTGAACCACACACTGATAATGCAGCAGACGCAGTCTGGCATGGTACTGACTGATCTGAACCCTCAGTTGAGAATTCTGCCCTTGATAAATACTACAAAGCACTCAACACCTTTTGTGTAATATTTGTAAATGTGGAGCATTATAGAAGCTACATACCTTCTTCCGACCCTACAAGTCATTAAGACCCTGATCTATCAGCCCAAAGTTGTACTATCTGTTTTGGCTCTACAAGACATATTTTCCATCTCTTGGGATAATCCAGTTTCATGTTGATGTAATACACACACCACAACCTGTGTATCTACCATCGTTGTTAGGGAGTGTTTCTCAACCAACAGAGAGGCACCATTGATGCTATGCAGAAGTCATCTTGTAGGGAAAGAGCTAGAAAGAGAGAGATGGGACAGCAAAGCAGCAGTTCCCCATTCAAGAGTGATGTGGGGTCCAAATGCATCTCCTAGAATCTAGGATTGGAACATTTGGGCTAAGAAGCCCAACTAACATAAAATGTTTGGCAATAATTAGCTCTCCATTATTTCAATGGGTTTTTCAGTTCAGTCTGAGCAGAAGACTGCTTCTCCCATTGATAAACCTACTGCTTCAATCCAGGTTGTGATTAATGGTTACATTAAGGAAGGAATCGTTATTGCCAACTACGGTTGTATAGCAGTTCAGATGCTGAGATGAAAAGGCAATTTGGAGCACGTTGTGGTGTACACATTGGGTCTGCTGGTAACCTTAGACCAGGGTTTCTCAACCTTGGCAACTGTAAGATGTGTGGACTTCAACTCCCAGAATTAATTCTGGGACTTGAAGTCCACACATCTTACAGTTGCCAAGGTTGAGAAACACTGCCTTAGACAACAGTTGGAGCTGATAGTTGTCCAATGGGTTTGGTGGCCAAGCAGAGACTGACCTTCATCCAAGGCCTCCTGATTCCAGTCAAATACTCTAGCCACCAAGCCTCACTGGCTGCAGCTCATCCTCATACGAGGTCTTTTCCAGGGGCAACATGACATACATGAAGAATCAGCACATGGGATGTTTATTTAGATAAGGAAAAAACTCTTGCTTGGTAAAGACTGAGTCTTTAAACATAACTTAGTGTGTGTGTGTATACACACATACATACACATGCACACATACAGAGTTATACCTGGGTGTGCACTGTAGATACATGTGTGTTCATTTGCTTATATGGGCATATGGGCACACACACACATTATAATTATGTGTGCAGGTCAATGATTATAACCCCCACCCCCGACTACATGAATGAAAATGTGCTCATCAATTATTGTCACAACTAATCTCTTTCTAAATTAATAGTTAATATTATCTACTCATTTATTTATAAATTGACCCCACTGCTTTGCAGCCTAAATATACAAAGAGCCAGAACGCATTCTCCCTTCAAGAAATGTTTCAAATCCCCCAACTATTTGTCTTCCCAAGTACAAGTGATCCATTGCACTTTTTTAACAAGAGCAACCCCCCTTCCCCACTCCCCAGTTCCCCCACAGGGGCCTCTTGGGTTGTTCTTTCATTCTTCCTGAGACTCCTCCTCCTGGATGCTGGGATGGTATTTCGTTCAACCCACCAGGCTGATAAGAAGTAACTTTGCATCTCTTCCTTCCTCCAAATACAAAGGGCTGAACTCTTCTCTTTCCCCATCGTGAGAGCCAATTGGACTCCCCGTTGCTGACTGCAGATTACGGGAAGGTTAAGAGGAAGCAATAGGCAATTTTAAGTCATGCTCGGGGGTTTTCTAGTGGTTCAGGAACCATGCCAATGGAGAGGTGCCAAATAAAGGGAAAGAGACTTTGCCGGTCCCTTTAGCGGAGCTTGGAGTCTCTTCCGTCCCTTGCGGGTTCCTTGCCTTTGCAAACATCAGAGTCAGCGTCTAGGGCAAATGAGGGACTGCAGGCAGGAGAGATAATGGCAGCGTGATTCTCGGGGTGCCGCAGATGCTCAAATTGCACTGTGAGAGAAGGAAAGGAGGAGGGGAGCCTTCTGGCTCGAACAAGCAGGTGTAGCTTTGAAGCCCAGGCAGGGTGAACAATGCAGCAAGCTGTAGCTATCTTGCAGCAGAGACAGTGCCCTGCGATGATTTAGGAACTGGGGGAAGCTCAACCGCTCGGTGGTAACCCAGAGGCCATTTCCTCAATGCTCAAACTGGTGCCAGAGCCCAGAGGA